GCGCCGCCGTGTTTGCCGAACTTCCTCTCCAGACTCTCCTGGACCGACACTGCAGGGAGACGAGAGCGTTACTGACAACGATCGGCGCGTTGGTGCGAGGCTTCCTGACAGACGCTCAGACTCACTCAGCAGGTGATAGTTGGAGTCTCGCTCGTATTTGAAGGTCAGTCGCCCGTAACTGACGTGGTTCAGGTTCTTCAACCACTCGAAGTAGGAAACCGTCACACCGCCAGCGTTCAGGTACATGTCCTGACCCACGAGAGCAGAAGAGAGGGGATAACAGACGTCTCGTTTACTTCAGTCTGAGACGAATTAACCTTTGACAAAGGTCACGAGCGTTCGCACTGACCGGGATCACCAGGATGTTTCTCTCCAGGAAGATCCGGTCAGCTTCAGGTGTAGTCGGCCCGTTGGCTCCCTCTGCGATGATCTGAAGGTGCCACAGACTCCAGGTCAGTTTACTGATGGAAACCCACAAACCGTTTCCCAGGACGGACATTTTTAGGGCCATTTATTTAGATATGAATTTATCTGAGATGTTTACGGCTTCCAGCCTCTGGACCGGCACCGTTCCTCATGTGTGCACGAGACAGCGGTATCCAGGGGAGCATGTGGAGTTCCTCAGGGCTCCATCATTGGCCCCATCACACTGTGATGAATCTTATATTTTAATATAACATTCATCACAGCGTTCATCTCCAGCTTTAAGGATGTTTCCCAAACAGTCAGAAAATCAAAAGTCTTGTTTCCTCAACTTCTGTTTGTTTCTCTTTATAATTTTCTGCTTTTTGCACTTTTTAAAGGTTTTTATTTATTTTTATTTGTAGGTTTTATTTATGTAAAGCACTTTTTTCCCTTCACATCTGAGAACATTAAATTCATACATACGCAGTATATTTAGAATCTAGAATCAAGTTTGTGGTTTTTTCCTTCTATGATTTCTACTTCTTGCATGAAGGATTTTGTTTTCCTGCCAGTGCCGTTATTCCCGAGAGTCGGAATAATTAGACTGAACTAAATATTGCGTGCACGCGTTATCGTCGCACGTAAACGTGATGAGCTGATCTGGTAACCGTGGCACCTTGGCCTTGATCTTGTGGGCGTTGCTTTTGGTCAGCTGTTTCTCGCTGGCGGCGGGGACCAGGATGTCGCAGTCGGCCTCGAGGATGCTTCCTTCGTATGGCGTCGCGTCAGGGAAACCCACGATGGTCCCGTTGGCCTGGAAACGACAAACCGTTCAAACTGATGAAGACAGCAGCTGCTTCACACGAAACAAACCAGCTGTGTGAGAAAATGACACAATAAAACTGGACTGTTTACACTGCAGTGACACAGTGCTGCCAGCAGGTGGCACACTGCTCCTGTTTCTGTGAACCCACCAGTTTGTAGTCCTCCAGCTCTTTGGGGTTGATGCCGTCGGGGTTCCAGATGCTTCCGTCCAATTCTCCGACTCCGACGCACCTCGCTCCGAAGCGGTGAAGGTAGCGCATGGAGTGAAGCCCCACGTTACCGAAGCCCTGCAGGCGGAGCAGAGGGCGCATTAACCAGGCGTCTGCCTCACGGTCACAAATCACACAGCGTTCTCCTGAATAGGAAACTGCACATTTTTATGTCGAGTTA